TGAAATGGGGGGACAGGGCGGGGGGCGCAAAGGAGGGGCGAGAGGGGGGCGCAGGAGGGAGGGGAAGGGGGGGAAGGGCACCTGCACCGACTGGGCCCCCCCCCGTCCCTTCCTCTGCATCTGCTTGTGCCTCCTCTGCCTCCTGCTCCCCCTCCGCCCCGATCGGCCCCTTGGAGAGGGGACAAAGGGCCCTGTGCCCGCAGAGCCCCGCGTCACCCGGTCACTGTCACCCGGTCATTGTCACCCATCACTGTCACCCATCACTGTCCCCAGTCATTGTCACCCATCACTGTCACCCATCACTGTCCCCAGTCACAGCCCGGGGGGCTCCGGGGTTGTGCCCCCAGCCCGTGCCCGCTGCGAGAGGGGGGCAGGAGGCAGCCGGGTTGTCCCCCCTGCCAGCGTCTCCTTGTCCCTGTCCCCCCCCTGCCCCGCACCCATGGGACCGGCTGGAGCTGCTCTGACCACCACAGGCGGGGAATTAATTAATGAGAGGCTGGGAATTAATTAATCTGCCTGGAAATCACTGCATGAAGGGAGTTTCTGTCCCCCCTGCACTGGTGACCGTCGTGTCCTGGTGTGACCAGGCTGTCCCTCCCCAGCCCCATTTTGGGGGTCCAGAGTGTGTCCCCTCCCCATTTCCAGTTGGGTCCAGTCCCAGCTCAGGTCCTGGCCCAGGAGGGGTCCCTGGGGGTGACACGGTCCGAGGGGCCCCAGGGATGGCTTTGTCCAGCAGGAGGGGGATGGAGGGGGGTGAGGGGAGGTCTCTGCTCTGCCACCTCAGCAGCCCCGGGTACCCCCTGCTGCCCTCATCCCATAAGAACAGTGGGCCAGTTATTAATTAATTATTAATTTCACCTCTGGTGAGGTGAGCGACATCAATCCTCCCAGCGCTGCTGGTGGCCACTCCTTGGGCTGGGGACCAGGAGACCTCAAGGCTGGTCCTGAGCCTTTGCTTGGGGCTTTTCCTCATCTTCAGTTATCCCAAAACATCCCCAGAGCAGGATTTTTTCTTTCCTAACCTGAGGAGTTGAAGGGAGTCAGAGAAACTGAGGCAGAACCTCCCAAAATCTCTCAGGGGGACACAAAATCCCAAGAAAATATAAATTTGGGGAGGGGGACAGGACACCGAGCTTGTGACATGGAGGAGGATTGAAATGGGTTTTCCTGCTTTGCTCCAGCCATTCCCCCTTCCATTCCTAGTAGCAACAATTCCTTCCAGTCTCCCAAAAAATAACTTCCAGGCAGCCAAATTGAGTTTTTTTTCCTTAGAAAACAGCAAATTGAAACAGCTCTGGCTGCTCTGAAACCCCAGGGTGAGCGATGCCAAGCTCGGCGTCCCCTTCCCAGCCCAGTTTGGATGGTCTGATGGTTCCCAGGTTGGCAGGGGAGGAGGATGGAGAGGGAAGGCTGATCCCATCCACGTGTCCTGGGATGACTCGGGCTTTGGAGCCATCCCTCCTTCCTGTTCCATCCCATCCCAAACCCACGGCTCCACAGCCACTAAATCCTGAAATGCCCCGAATTTCCTCAGGGGAACAAGGGAACAACCCCTCCCAGTCCATCTAAGTGGCCGACTGGCACTGGGACAGTTTGGAAATGGTCCCCCATTTCCTTCGGTGGCACCTCCGTGTGATTTTGGGGACACTGCTGTCCAGGGAAGGACGATGGGATGTCGGAGCATCCCTGGACCCACAGGTGCCCGCCTGCCCCTCCTAAAGCTCCTGGAGCTTCAATCCTGGTTCTTAACCCGGCAGTGGAGCTCCGAGCTTGGATCCCCGCGGGATTTTCTCTGCTCAGCCCTCGGTGTCGCCTTCCCCGGCCGGGTCATTTTACAGCCGGGTCACCTTTCCGGGCAGGTGACCTTTGAGTCCGGCGGCGCCGGGGAGGGAGCTCATTAAAGATAACGAGTCTGGAGGATGGAGAGGCTGGATTAGCTCAGCTCGGGAAGTCAGGCAGAGCTGGAGAGCGAGCAGAGGGAAAACGAGTCTGAGCCGGAGCCTCTGTCCTGTGGCAGGACTGGCTGTGGCTGATGAGGATCCCCCAAGGAATGGGGCTTGTGTCAAAGCGAGACCTTCCTGGAATTCCCTGACTTTCTGCAGGAAATTTGGATGGAAATCAGCCCTGCCCATGATGTTTCTTTTCCTGACCTTTTGTACCTCACTTGTTCTTTGGGAATTTGGGTTTAAAATCCACCCAAACGCTGATTGTCCTTCCCCTGGCAGGATGTGGTGTTCTCATCCAGTTCTGCAGAATTTTCCTTAAAACAGAGCCGGGTTCTTTCCCTTCACTGTGTTTTCCAAGTGGGCAGAGTTTTGGGGAGCGTGGCTGTAAAAAACCCCTGGGTTGGCACCACGGATTCGGATTCCATCCCTTTTTGTCTGTGGAGCTGAGGGACACAAGGTGCCACCTTGCCCTGGGGGACTCTGACTCCCTGATCCATCCGGAGTCCCCCAAAACCAGGGAGTGCCACCAGGATGAGCGGGGATGGGATGTCCTGAGTGGGAAGGGACCCACAAGGTCATGGCAGTGACAACGTGACCCTTTCTGGGAGACCCCGGGGAGCACGGCTGGGGCTCTGCTGGGGGCTGTGCATCCCCCAAGGGAGACAAAACTCCCCCAGATCCTGCTGGATTTTCCCTGGAGTGCAGGACCAGTTTGACAAAATGGGGGAGAAAGAGGCTGCCTGTGTCACCCACGGGAGGCTTGAATCTGCCAATCCCAAATCCCTCCCTTTACACCCCCTGCCACTTCATTAAAATTCCCATTTTTAATTGCCATTTATTGAGCCCTTGCACCCCGTGCCGTTTCCCAGGTTGGAGTTTGGCCCCTTTTGGCAGCTCTGGGTGCTCAGGGTGCTGGGAAGGGCAGGAGGGGGCTGAGAGGTGGCACTGGAGGGGGGATGGAAAAGCCACTGGCAAGGGAGAGTCCGGCTGCTGGGCAACCTGGGAGTGATGGGGAGGGAGCAGCAGTCAACTCTGGAATTGGGGCTCAGGAACCAGCAACCCATTCCCAATGGGAAGGCCTCTTCCTCTTCCTCTTCCTCTTCCTCTTCCTCTTCCTCTTCCTCTTCCTCTTCCTCTTCCTCTTCCTCTTCCTCTTCCTCTTCCTCATCAAACTCACCAGTGACTGGGACCTGAAGGTTTTCCACCCATTGGTTAAAGCAGGAATTTGGGTGATGAAGAGCAGATTCCCTGTTGTTTTTCAGCTGAAATCATAATCCATTTTTTATTCTCCATTTTCCAGTAACCTCATGGTTGGGGCATCATTGGCAATACAAGGGCAGTGTTTGCTTGATGGTGCTGGAAATTTTCCTTCCAAATTCCAGCTGTGGTTGCTCTGTGCTGGTTCCCAGGGCACGAGGGAGTTGTTGCTCCTGGAATTTCATCCAGCAGCCCTACCAGTTCCCCCAGCTCCCTCAGGGTTTTGCTCCTTTTCCACCTTCAGTTTTAGGAATCAAAATCTGGGTGTGATTTTTGTTGTCTGAATCATTTTCAGTTGCCACAATGGCATTGACACGAGGATGAACCACATCCGCTCAACCTCCCAGACCTTTGAGCCTTTAAATGAGGAATAACTGGGGAATTCATAGAAAATGTGGGTGGTTGGGCATTGCAGGGGATTTGTTTGCACAGGTGATGGGATTTTGGTTTTCTCGGGTTGTTCAGGGGGACAAGGAAGGGGAGGGTGAGCAGAGGTGACCTCTTTCCTTTAGCATTTGAGGCATAAAAGAATCATGGAATGGTTTGGGTTAGAAAACCATGGGATCATCCTGCTCCACCCCTCTGCCATGGACAGGGAGCACAGGTCGCTCAGAAATCTCAATTAAAAGATGGAAAACGCTGATTTCCATGCAGAACTTGCACCGAGGGGAGCCTGAGACTTGCTGGGATGAAGAGTCACCTCTGCAGGACCTTGGGGACTTCTGGAGGGCATTGGTGGCCACGTCCTGTGGCCAAGAGCCACCCAGGGAGTCCTGCAGGGACCACCCTGAGACCAAAAGTGGCTCTTTCTGCCCAGCTTGGAAATCCCTGTGTATTTTTTCTTTTTTAAGAAAGGAACCACAAAAACAAAGTAGGCAGCTGGGGTGTTTTAGGTCTGAAATGCCCAAATTTGGGTCTGAAGTCCCTCTCCACCTGTAGTGGACTCCCATTGTGTACAACACAGATGGGTTTATTTGGGAATGGGAAAAAAAACTTCCTTGTTTTTCGGGCTATGCCTGGAGGAGGAGCTGTGGTCCTCATGGAATGGACAGGGAGGGTGGAGGGGGCTCCACAGACCCATCCCCAAATTTTCCCTTCTCCTCGTTAGAGACATGACGAGGAGGCCGTGATTGACCAAGGCAGGACGAGCAACGTGGTCAACATCCACTATGAGAAGGAGGAGCTGGAAGGTGAGATCCTGCTGGGATCCTGCTGGGATCCTGTTGGGATCCTGCTGAGATCCTGCTGAGATCCTGCTGAGATCCTGCTGGAATCCTGCTGGGATCCTGCTGAGATCCTGCTGGGATCCTGCTGAGATCCTGCTGGGATCCTGCTGGGATCCTGTTGGGATCCTGCTGGGATCCTGCTGGGATCCTGCTGGGATCCTGCTGGGATCCTGTTGGGATCCTGCTGGGATCCTGCTGAGATCCTGCTGGGATCCTGCTGGGTTCCTGCTGGGTTCCTGCTGAGATCCTGCTGGGATCCTGCTGGGATCCTGCTGAGATCCTGCTGGAATCCTGTTGGGATCCTGCTGGGATCCTGCTGGGATCCTGCTGGAGGGGCCACCAGACCCTGGGAAAAGTCCCCACAACGCCCCTTGCCCGTTGTCACATCATGAGCAGCAAAACCTGCTGTGGTTCTTGATTAAACAACAAATTATTGATTTATTTTTTAATGCTCTGGCTTTTAAAAGCCCTGGTGGAGGCCCCGGTGTGAATTGTGTTCATGGGGTTGGATAATTCCCATCTGCTTTTCCCACAGCAGCTGCTCCTGGCTTGGAGAGGGCAGGAGAATAATTTGATGTGTTTGATTCCCTGTTTTCCTCCTGGAGTTCATTGTCATGGGACTCCTTTGATCTTTCCTTGTCACCTTCTGCCATAAAAAGATTTCAAAACTATAATTATTGTATTACCTCCTGCTTAATGACCGAATCTGAGGGCTGTGGGTGGTGGTGCTGTCCAGCCCAAGCTGGAATTTGAGAAGGGTTTTGGTCACCCCAAACCATCCCTTTGTGTGAAGCTTGAGTAAAACGGGCTTGGAAAAAAGGACAAGTGTGGGAAAGCCAGGGATGCACTGAATTTACATGAAGGGAAGCCAGTGTGGGATTTTGGGCGTGTCCTGTGTGGGACCTTGCTGATCCCTGTGGGTCCCTTCCGTGCCTGTGGGTGCCCCCTGGGGTGGCTGCACTGGCTGGGCCACCAATGATTCCCGCCGTGTTCCCAGGACACCGGACCCTGTACGTGGGCGTGCGGATGCCGCTGGTGCGCCAGAGCCACCGGCACCACCGCGCCCACAGCCAGAAACACCGGAAACGGGAGCGGGAGAAGGACACGGTGCCCGCCGAGCAGGGATACCAGTGTGAGTC